TGAAACTTTAGCGTTTCTTTTAATGGAATAATCATAATTGTGGCTAAATAAGTGTTTGCAGTTTATAGCGTAACCAGGCCTGACATTTACGTGACTATAGGCAATAATAGAAGCCTGTTGTTGCCCATGGATTATGTATTTGGTAGGCCTATGTCTTTTATCTTTGTTTATATTTGGAAAACATTAACACGACTTCCTGCTGAGTTATATTTAAAATAAAGACATGATCTCTTTTGCAATTATCCTTATGACTCTACATTATTTAACTTGCTGTGTACCAACCAATCCAGTCCTTTTTCCCTGTTGAAATATCTTTAAATGGCCAATACAACCCATAAAATGCAGTATTCTGTTTGCCAGAAAGTGATTGCAGCCTCTATTGACTGAAAGGTAGATTCTGCCTCAAAATGACTTGATTTCATTCCGATGAGTTATATTTGACATTTTTTTGATTTGATAAAACCGAAATTGTCCCCCTTTTTTATTTAATTCATAATAACATTATATTTTTTAAATCACATTCTGACCACCAAACCAAAATTCATTTCAGAAATCTGGTCACCTTATGACAAATAGCACAATAGAGTGAACAACAACAAAGCAAGTAACGTAACTAATGTTAGCTGGGTATAGGGTTAGCAAAATGACGCTACTTGCAGCAGCAAAGCTATCACAAGAGGACGAGACAGACCCAGAGCAGCACAGCAGCTCCAGATAGCGACACTCCTCCTGCTGCTATAGCTAATGTCATAACAACAGCATGTCTTGGTGAATTATTAAGTAGGGCTGCACAATTAATCTAATCGCAATATAATGATTCATAAGCAATGAGCCTGTAACTTTTTAGACTACAACCTACCGTAACCCCCTCCCTGCCCCGCCACTAATCGTTCAAAACATAGTCAGACTTGGTCGCTCTGTGACAGAGACAGAGCGACGTCGTCTGCAGCTGAAGTGGTAAGATAGAAGAAATAAGGGAGAAGATAAGGAAGGTTTGGGTTTAGCTAGCTGACCACTTAAAGTTAGCTGTATCTGTGCGTTTTGTTATTCAACATGTTCAACTTTTCATAAAGCCGATATGCTTGTCACTTTTCAACCGACCAATCACAGCCTGGATGGGGCGGGACATTAAAAAAAGTTTGACGTGCTACAGCAAATCATTAAATGTTGAACAATATGATTACTGACAAGTAGTGTGTAGCATTAACAAATTAGAGACCAATATAGATAATTTTTCTTGCACAAGGATTCAATTTTAAAAACAACCCCACAGAAAGGAAACGGTTGTAACAGGATTTAATATTCAACTAGTGGTAAAATAGTATATTATATGAAATTACAATGAATATAGTAATATTATTATTATAGGCTACTAACAGTATACCTTTAACTGAACATTATAATCTTTATTTAATGATATAATGTTATACTAATACACTCATGTATACTAGTTTCTCATCCAGGTTGTGGATAGTCTCTGCAGTGGACAGACGTACACTTAGCCAGTCACGATGCCAATATGTGCTCCTTCTAGCCGCCTCCTCTGTAGAGTAACACGCCCCCCTTGTTCTGTTTAACTTTATTACTAGTTATCGTTATAAATATTGTTTATCGTTTAAACATTGTTCAAGTTGAGAAATACACATATTAAAAATGTCAGTATTTTGTGCATTTTCCTTGATAATCAAGCAAGCAGACTCATAGTACCATTTGTTCCATTATAATCAAATCGCAATATTGTCCACAATAATCACAATATGACATTTTCTCCAAATCGTGCAGCCCTACTATAAAGTAAGCAGTATGTCCATGGGCAAGTCATTTAACATTACCTGACTGACACACACATCATGGCTGGCACTGCTGGATAGTGTTGTGTGGCTCGTCCATTATATTTAATGCAATTTCTTCTCTGCAACACCGGTGTAACACCAAAATCTGTGACCTATCAGATTCTGTGACTACACCCAAACGACAATGTTTTCCTAACCACAACCAAGTACTTTTGGTGCCTTAACCCAACCAAACTGCAACCGCTTCACATCGTCAACAAAGCCTCTGGCCCTTAACTTGCCATTTGGGTCACAGAATCTGACATTTTGGTGTCACACCGGCACGTGTGGAAGAACGGACCGCGGTGAAGTTAGTTTCAAGTTGGACATTTGTTTTACGTTGGACATTCAATAGATGTCGAATTTCAACATAGCGCCGTTCCCTCACCAAAATATTATGGTCAAGTGTGGAATTTGCAACACAACGATATAAACGATAGAGCATAATTGTAAACGATAGACGTTTTTCAATCGTCAAACGATAGATCGTCATATTGCACAGCCCTAAGCCAGAATATACTGTATGGGGTCTGAAAATGATGAGTGCAGGAAGCTAACGTTAATGCTACTGTAAAGTGTTAAAGTACAGACAGACTCCTTACTTTGTTGGGTGGGTGGGGGGTGCAGCCAAAAAAAATCCTCACTATTTAAAATGTCAAATTAATACAGACTGCATTTCCGTCTTTAAAAATTCATCTTTGGCCACCTGCTTACGTAGCACGTTTACTACATAACAAGCCACAGTTTCATTTCATAGATGAGCTAACTCAACAAATTAATGGTTAATGTTGCTGGTAAAATCTAAAAATGAGAAGTCTGCTAACAGCACTGACTCTGCCCTTTATTTTTGCAGGCCTGAGTCAGGAGGGCAGCAGAATGCAGAGATGTCGCATTGACGGGACTTTTCTTATAAGGAAGTCACTGTCGCAACTGGGCACAATGGCTCAAACCCTGTAACTGCTTATGGTTATAGTGGTACAGGCAACTTCCTGAGATACAGAATCTGCACATATCCAAATATGACTGCAAGATAGTTTCAAGTAGTCATGAAAAGGAGTACAATCACCAAAATAAACCCATGCTCTAATGAACACAGAATGGTATATCAGATCATAAAACATGCTCACACTGTACCAGTGTAATGTTGGTGGAGAAGGTTGTGTCTAATAATACAAACCAAGGCCACAGTTTTTGCCTGTTTTTGCCTATAAAAAAATAAGTAGCACTTTTGTCTGCCGTATATCTCAGAGGGCAGAAGTATAAGCTTATTATTACTAGAAGAATAAAAGAGCGCTAATGAAAGGCGTAGCAGGCAAGTAAGCTTTTTGGACCACCTGTTCCACATTTTCATATTCAGTGAAGAAGAGCTCAGGTTCCCATATGAGCACCTTGCCATCTGTTTCAAAAAATATACCAAATTTTGATATTCAACCACTGTGCATGCTTTGCTAAACAGAGACACATCAGAGCTTGTTAATGCATTTATAGTATATGCAATACACTGTCTGACTATATTTGCTTTAGCCTATATTCAAAGAGAGGATTCAGACAAATGATTGAGTGGAGTTAATCTTATGGCATCTGTTCAAGTGACAGGACTTAAAAACAAAACTGAAGTCTACACTTCTACATTAAAATTAAAAACACACACGCATGACTAAAACACTGATGAAATTGCATCTTAAATCAATTATAGCAAGGACCATTAGTGTTATCAGGACATGCAAACATAATTTTGATGTGGCTGTTAGGGGAGTTCTCAGCAGCTTATCAGAAATAATTCTAACAAAGAGTCAGCTAATCAGGATATAAAGACAAAGAATCACTGCCGGCTTAACTAATGCACCAAATGCTTACATAATATGCAGCAATATTTTCTACAAGCATAATTTCATTATCATTATTATTTTGAAAAATTCTGTTATTATTATACTGTTATTGTCATTTTGACTAGAGTTACAGTGATTAGGACTTCAAGATGTTCTTACCCTTTCAGTGCAAAGTCAAGTTTTTTTCATCCAAACTGAATTTATACTTCTTCAGTTTGTGAAGCTCAGAAAAAATTTATAATTGTTTTACCGCTGTTTCTTTTGTTGTCTTTTGATAAGGTCTGTGTGGACCACAACGCGTCACTTGACCTATTTTAAATTTTGGACACTATCCCAAAATACCAACACAGGGCCTGAAAATGTATCACACATCCATGTAGTCTTGCAGTGGTGCTCTAACAATCAGTGAGTTAAAACCTACACTAAATAATAAATCAATTCCTCCACTGGAGGTGAACTGTGGGGTCACTTAGATGGAGCTGCAGAAATCTGTCGTAAGTCCATCTGAGGATGAACAGCAAACTCGAAAAAGCTTTATTGGATTAAAGGGGGCACTGTTTTTTCCCACATTTTCGATCTAAAAAAACTGGTTATGAAGAGTCTCTTTGCTAAACATTTAAAAGATAAATATAAATATATGATCATATAAAATCAAAAATCAAATAAATAAATGTTTTGCCTTCCTGCCTCAGAATCAATGAAGAGGTGAATACAATTTTATATTGGGTACTTGCAGTAAAACAAGCATAAAACTCATCCTGGCACACAGCACCATGTGTGCATATTAAATTCATGGCAGTTCAGTACAGCAAAAAGGAGGAGCTGGACAAGAATATTTTACATCTTGATAAAATGGCTTTACAGAAGAGTAAGTTAGATTCATCCACCTTCAATGAGTTATAAAAGAAAAATTTGAGTCATGGTTCTGGCTAAATGTCTGTATGGCACTGCAACTTACGGCTCTTCACTGTATGAATCACTCACCCCGAAACAACCGAGTCAATGCATGGCAACACATGGCAGATTTTCGGCATTGTTCAAATAAAGGGAATAAATAAATATTCACACCACTGCAATATAGAAAACAATACTTATTATATTTAATGATTTTGTTTCTCAAAACGTCTTGAGAAAAAGCGTGGGAGAGGTGGAATGATGAAAATGTTTACCAAACTTTCACAAAATCAGGGAGATGTGCATGTGAGGTGCCCCCACCGCCCCCTAAAAAAGATGTATGTGACAGGCAGGGAATTACAGCAGTGTTCATGGACGCCGCTCTTGTCTGCTAATATAAAGTATTGAACTGTTGTGGAAAGGAGGGCAAAATTTTTGTACTTACCCAAGTTGTCAAAAGTGGTGGTGGGGACTGCAGGATCAGACACCTGAAAAAAAACACAGCAATTATCCAGCAGAAATGTAAATGTAAAATTAGGATTCACAAAGAGACAATCATTTAAGGCAGAATGGATCTGGATCAGTTCATTTAAACCGCCCGATATTAGATTGCAGCAGCTGTTTGGGTGTTTAATTCATCTCAGTGCCTTTCATTCAATTGTTTACTTTAAGAAAGTTAGCATTAAAGTGCAGCTCTAACTCCTCAAGTGAAATACTAACTTTTGACTGCAGGGGATACGTTCAAAAATGATAATTGTGACTGAAATTTCTATTTCTGGTGTTGTGAATGTCCTACATTCTGTTTAGATACAGGTAAGGGTGGGGGTGGAATGATTTTTGTCTCCAGGGCCCAAAGATGTGTATTCCTCTTGCTGAGGAATTCTTTTGTTCTGATAAATTGACATTGTCAGTTTCCCACATTGCCACAGTGTGGCATATACTATAGGGAGCAGTAGTGGGAACACAGATGCTATATACGATTGGCGTCAGTCAATGTGACAGTTCTTGTTTTTTCTTTTCTTTTGAGGGAGGGGGGTCTATTTTTCTAAGCCTGAACTTCCAAGTCGAGGAAGCAGGAAGGAATAGGAATTAATACACCTACACTCCCCTTCTCCCTTTAGAATGGCAAAAATCTCTTTGTACCCACATCATAATTACTGGTGGGCGCCAGTTTGGGATTGTTATCCATGCCTCCTTTTTTTTTTGCAAGAATAATACAATGTTTTGAGAACATGCAACTGACAACTAAGTGTTTTCTCAACTTCACTTCAGTATCTTTACGCTGTGCTAATGTTAAGGAACAAGTATTGCTTGAAGTGGCATTCCTTGTTCTAGCATATGCTCCCTATTTTCAGAGGCGCTGTTTTCCACAAACACAGTGAGTAGCCAGGCGCAGAGGAAAAGTAACCAGCAGCCGGGTGCTGGGGACATGTTCCTCCAGGGAAATGATGCTGATGAACAAACTATTTTGGTGTCTTTTCATGAAGTCTGACACTCTGATTCTATTCAAAATGCAGTCTCAACTACTGAGTAATTTCAATGTGTTTACCTCAAAAACTGTTTTACTTTTCCCTTTTAATTAGGAGTTTGAGTGTTGAGCACTGAACACTACTGAAATACTTTGTGTTCCCACAGACAGAGAATGCTTCTCTTTATTACTCTCAGTTAAATGTGGAAATGTGTGTGCTCAGTATGTTTTTAGTTAATAATTTAATTTAATTTAAACTTTACATCAGAAGATATACAAATGAAGTGCAAATATTTTCTTAAACCAACAAGTATGCATAGGTATTAGAGGTGCAATGATATATTGATTATTTGATTGATTAAAAATGTAAAAGACAAAACAAGACAAGACAAAAATGATTAGCTGCTTTGGTCAGGCAAGAATGTGATATCTTTTTCGCCATTTTCTGTAATTTTATAGCCATAATGATTAATCAGCTAAATGAAAGAAAATCAATAATATATCTAATTTTAGCTGTAGCCCTGGTGAGTATAGTTCTGGTAAGTTTAACACTGGCGATTCATTATTTATAGAATGGAAAACCAGTATTCAATACATAGATAGATAGCATTGGTAATAAACTACATGTCACCAAAGCAAATTCCGTATATATGTAAAAGCTACTTGGCAATAAAAAATAAAATTTCTGATTGTGATTCTGATGTAGGTGAAAAGGGTCAGTTCACCCATATGCACCTAAGCACATGCGGTCATATTTTCCTTCAGGATCTCAAGCCTTGCTTGCAAATTACTTTACCTGCAGAAGTGTTGAGATAGCTGCTGTCACCCCAATACAAAATGAAGTTAATGGAAGTTGTTGTTCACAAAACACTGTGCAAGTGAAATTAGATCACTCTACAGCAACATACCTTTTCAGAGACAATGTCTGTTTATTCAGAATACTTCACAGAGCTCACTGTCAGCACTTTTTGTGACTTATTGTCTACCAAACGTACAAAACTGTGAAAACTGTCTACTCTCCAACACCACCATCAGCTCCCCCAGTTGCAACCCAAGTACCACTATCAAGGTCAACATTTACCAGACATGTTATCTACCCAAACAAAGTTTACTGAGAAAGTAACCGCTAACTGGGGACCTTATTAAGTGTTAAGGAAATATGTCTCACTTCCTGTTTGCTTGCCTTGCCATCAACAGAAATTGTCCTCCTTGCTACACTGTTAAAAGATTTTATTTACACCTTTATTTACCCAGGGTAACTTTACTGAGCGCTAATATTGTTTCAGTAACTCCATGCTTCACACATGCAGTTACACATACTCACTCCTGTAAGACAAATATCAGTCTTTTACCACCATAGCCAGATTTTCTGCAAAACAGCCACGATCATAGAAATCCATGTATTCAAACCAGTATTGCACAGTGATTTCCTCTCCAGCAAAGAAATTTAAGTGAGAATGAGTTCCCATAACAAAAACCACACCAGAAAATTACTTGATACACAGTAGCATCAATAGCTGACCAATTGCTTTGATTTTGTTTCCCAGAGAAGTGGGGGACTTGAAACCTATCCACTAAATTTGATTGATCTTAGGCTTACAGTCTCTGAGCTACAAATCCTAACAAAAACAAAAGGGTTTCAGCACGTTCTGTGCCAAGACATCTGGGGACAAAGCCAGCAAAGAAGCTGTTGTCTGATTGGTGAACTGGCCAGAAAAAGTGGAAAGCACAGGTCAGATAGGCTCCTGGGTTTATGTTTGTCAACTGTAGCCAGCCCAATAAGTTTAAAGCAGAATTGAGCACAACTATAATGTTGCTAACGCTAGTAATATTGTAGAGCTTTCCAGCAGGTATAACTAGTGATTCACTATATTATATATATATATATATATATATATATATATATATATATATATAAGTGATGGATGTTATTATTATGTTCTGAGGTAATAAGTGTGTACATTTACCGACTTAATCCAAATGAAGGCTTTTTTATGTTATATTTCATGTTACATGTAATATTCTTACTAGGTTAAAGGTATGTTTATTATTATTCCTGGTCTCCAGACTATTTTTCTGTGTATGCTTAATTAGTTGTAGTGCGCAGGCGTCGCCTTTAGGTTTCATTTTCATTTAGTTGATGTTCAGGACTGGTACACCTTGCCGGTGAGTGACTATAAACTAGCATTGCTAGTAATTCAGATCAAAAATTAATATCACATGATTGGGTAAATTTATTAGTTAATTCTGTTTTTTGTGTTTTCATTGCAGGTTTACAACCTAACGTAACTGACTAACTAACTAACGTCACTAATATCCAACTAACAGGCTAGCTTAGCGGTAGCATTCAGTATTGTGTATGTTTAAAGCTCATAATGTGACTTGAGTTGTATCCACCGTACTTGTCCTGAAAGGCCAGTCCTGGAGTTTATTGAGCTATAACAGGTAGCTCAATAGAGAACTGGACAACTATCATGGTACATGCAAGGCAGCGGTAGGCAGCTGAACCAAAAAATATTTTCACTTTCATCGTTTACATCTCAATTTACATGATTTCATATAAATCTACTATACATAACAGTGTAAAGACAAGGCTCATGTAAATCCCAAAATATATGAACTTGACATTTAATACTGCACCAACATTAAGCCAGGCATTCATTCACTGTGCCTCGTTCTGAACAGCACCTGGTGCTGAAATTCTAATAAACTTACCCAATAAATAACATAAATGTGTAATATAATGAACTTCATTTAAAGGAAACATGTACCCCTTGTTTTGATTCAGTTTTAATTTGTCAGCTTTAGCCTATTTAACAGAAAGGGTGTGCTGGTGACATTTTGTTTCTAAGGCAACAACAACAAGAACACTGTGAACCATAACAGGGGGCTATGCACGCATGTCTACTGCAGCTGCCAATGGACAACGATGAAAAAGCTGGCACATGGCTGACCCAGACCTACTGTTACTTTCTTGTGATCTTCACATGTGTTTTCCAGTCAAATCAAGACCATGTCTTTCTAACTACAACTGCTGTCTTCATGGAAGCACTGCAATTTTCCCTAGTGCCTGGTAGGGCTGAATGATTTGTGGAAAAATGTAATTGCAATTTTTCTGCCAGATATTTAAATGCGATTACAATTTGTTTTGCGTTTTTTTTTTTTTTTTTTTTTTAATTTTGCTAGTTCAATATTCACTGCTAGTCTATTTTTGACAGAAGTCACTTCAAGCAGCACAGAGCAAATGAACAAGGCAGGAAGTTAGACACACAACGGATTAGAAAATCCGATTTTCAAATTAAACACCCTTTGCAGACAACATCACAGTACATCAATAATAAACACAGTTAAAAAAGGCAAAAAAAACCTAACAATTTAACTGAAATGCTCCGTGTGGATATGTAACGTTAGCCTGCACAGGAGGCGCATGGAGCTTGTGATTGGCGAGCAGATCTATCACACAAGGATGACAACAGAATGAATTTGTAACTGCATGACTGTTTAAAAACGGGTCAGATGCTCTGTTTAATTAATCTACATTTTAATCGCTGTCTAATCGCGTTCTTTCAAATCACAGACACAAACCAGGGGTTTTCAAAGTCTGACACTGTGGGACCTCACTTGGTCAAAATCATGGTAGCCGTACTTCCCCCATCCCCGCTCTATATTTTCGACCTACAGTTCCCAAAATGCTTTGGGAGATGTAAAAAATTATAATGTTGCCCTGGACTCCATGAGTTATGCTTAGGGCTATAACTTGAGACCTTTTTTTTTAGCCTGTCTTTGTTAAACTTTTTGTAAATTGGCAGCATTACAGGTATGCTGAATTAGCCGTTAGCAGCTCCTGTTTGCAATGTGTCCACAGATGTACAGACAACTATCACAGGATTACTTTGCTACTGAAGAACACTTAAAAACGTGATGATTCTGATTCTGTTATGAGGAGCTTACTTTTCTAGGATGTTTATTCATATATAATGATATCCCTGGAGTTTAAAGTGTAAGTCACATTGAATCTAA